AGGGTGTAATAACAAATGAGCAACGTGAGAAGAAGTGTTTTTCTCTCCGGTTTCGTGACGACGACAAGATGAATTTGATGTCACTTGATCAACGCGTGGTTGTTAGGTCGACTGAAACCTCATTCGAGAGACAGTTTTCGGGTCATCTTCGAGATGTCAGAGATGCCATTTTTCTGGGTCGACACAACTTTGTGTCGGGCAGTGATGACACAACCATACGACTCTGGGACATAATGAATGGGAGTGAACTAGATGTCAGTAGGCTTCATACAGATTATGTTCGCTGTCTTGAAAACTACTCACCAGGATGTTTTTTCAGTGGTTCCTACGACCACACGATTAATATATGGGATACTCGTATTGGTTTTTCACACCCGCTTCAGACGAGTGGCCGAAATGTTGAGAGTCCTATAGAAGCATTATTATTCACGCATGCAAACCTCTTGGTGTGTGGTGCGGGTGACCAAATAATGCTGTTCGATATGCGCAAAGGTCTTTCCACTGCTCTTTTGCAGGAATCACATCATACGAAAGCGGTGGTGACGCTCGCATGCTCTAAGAAACACAATGTGATCATTACCGGATCACTCGATCAAAGGGTGAAAATGTTTTCTTTAGAGAAAGGAGGACTCGATCCTGTGGCTAGCAAGAAGTTCGATGCCCCAGTAACGGCTGTAGGGATTCACCCCGATTCTTCCGAATTCGCTGTCGGTACAGCAGAAGGGGAGCTCCGTATAATGAAACTCGACGACAATTCTCTAAAGGAAGAGGAAGATGATGATAAAGAAAAACACCAGGACAAGCGAAATGATTTTTTAAATGCAAAGCTTCACGACGTGCAACAACAACTCGTCTCTTATCAGTATAATCGGGCGCTAAAAACAGCTCTGTATTCACGCAATTCTGATGTTATTGTTTCTACGCTTGAGGAACTTATTCGTCGTGGGGCTTTACATGTAGCGTTGAGTGGTCAGAATGATCGAACCATTGTGCGCATCCTTCGGTTTTCGGTAGACTACATTGATCGTCCAGAGTTCTATGAGTCGATGATGATTGTTTTGGACACAATTTTTGAAATTTACGGCACTTGCGTTGGGAAGAGCACTTTTCTTCACCGGGAAATGATAATTGCGCATCGGCGTCTGGGTTCTGTTCTTTCAACACTCCAAAGAATGGAACGCACCATGAGCATAATGGAGTTGATTGTAAATGACGTTTAAGATATGAATATAAAGAATTTCTGGATAATCAAAAGGGGCCGGAGCAGTTTGCTTTTCTTTTTTGTTAATTTTTTTGTGTTCATGATGGGTTCTCTAACCCGAATATTTTTTTCGTGGGACTTTTTCCTGCTTGTTCCTTTCTTGGGGGTTCTATCAATAGGATTGCTGCTTGTACGAGGAAAGAAAGAACAAAAAAAAATAGAGACACTGCAAGAAGGAAAAGAAAAAAATTATGTTCCGTCGTCTGGCCGTCTCATCGCTGCGGGGCGGTGCCCCGCGTCGCACCTTCTGCAGCACTGCGCGACTTCTTAATCTTGATTATCAGGCCTACAAGACTGCTACAGTGCGTGAGGCGGCACCTGAGTGGGCAGGAAAAGCTGTGATAAATGGCAAGATAAAGGACATCAGCATCAATGATTACAAAGGCAAATACATTGTTCTTCTCTTCTATCCTATGGATTTCACATTTGTGTGTCCGACGGAAATAATTGCCTTCTCAGATTCCCATGCAGAGTTTGAGAAGATCAATACACAAGTTGTGGCGGTGTCGTGTGACAGCCAATTTTCGCACCTTGCTTGGATCAATACACCTCGGAAAAAAGGTGGCATTGGCGAAATGAGCATTCCTGTGCTTTCTGACCTTACAAAGGAAATTGCTCGTGACTACGGGGTCTTGATTGAAGAGCAGGGAGTTGCATTGCGGGGCCTATTTATCATCGATGACAAGGGGATTCTTCGTCACATCACGGTAAATGATTTGCCAGTGGGTCGAAGTGTGGATGAGGTGCTTCGTGTTGTTCAGGCGTTTCAGTACGCCGACAAAAATGGGGATGTGATTCCGTGCAACTGGAAGCCAGGCAAACCCACAATGAAGCCTGAAAAAGCAGACGAGTTCTTTGAGAAGAACATGTAAGCACAGGTTTCGGGTGTTTTTAGCACCACCACGCTTGCTTTGGTGTTTTGTTCTTGCATTTTTGTTTTCGTCATTTTTTTTTTTTGGTTGTTTACTGATTGCGCGTCAATAGCTATTACAATTAATGGGAGCTAGTTGTTCTCACCTGTTTGCCCAATGGCAGGCTAAAGAAAGTTTCTTGTGTGTGTGAAGAGAAGCATCGAGTGACCAACATTCCGAGTTGAATAGCGCAATTTTCATGTGCTATGGGCTGTGTGTTGACGTTCTGTTGTCATAATCTCATTTCTACTGTAGTGTGTAAGGGCGAAGGGGAAATGTCCAAGATAAGCGTTCCTCCGAAGGTTGACCGCCGGGGCGGTATTCCCGTTGAGGGGTCACGTAACCCGAAGGTCTTCTTCGAGGTGGCCATTGATAACAAGCCATCTGGGCGGATCCTCATGGAGCTCTACGCGGATACGGTGCCCAAGACGGTTGAAAATTTTCGCGCTCTTTGTACTGGGGAGAAGGGGCGTGGCAAAAGCGGTAAGCCACTCCACTACAAGGGGTGTGTCTTCCACCGTGTCATTCCGGGTTTCATGATTCAAGGCGGCGACATTACACGGGGGAATGGCACCGGTGGTGAGTCTATCTATGGCGTTAAATTCCGCGATGAGAGTTTTTCTGGCAAGGCTGGAAAGCATACGGGAATTGGTTGCCTTTCTATGGCGAACGCCGGTCCTAATACCAATGGATCTCAGTTTTTCATCTGCACTGCTAAGACACCATGGTTGGATGGCAAGCACGTTGTGTTCGGCCGAGTTACAGAAGGAATTGAAATTGTGAAGAAGATGGAGCGACTGGGCTCGGAATCTGGGAAGACACGTGGTCGGATCACCATAGCAGACTGCGGTGAAGTCGAAGCAAAACAAGTCAAGGAGAAGACAACACGTGATGAACCGAAGAAAACGACGACGCCTGCAAAACCGGAGTCCCCTATGACTCAGGTGCAAGGCAAGAAGCGCCCACGTGACGCAGACGAGGACCCTGAAGAAAAAAAAAGGCGTATCAAAGAAAAGAAGGCGAAACTCACCCAACTCCGGGCTCAACTGGAGAAGTAATCAATAACAACGTTTATACTGGATCGTGTAAGCTAACCTCGGCCGAAACAGCCCCTGATGGTGTGGAAGGTTTGATCATTTGACTTTCGTCTTCCTCTTATCACCTGGAAGAACCATTACGGGTTCTTCGTGTCATTATTACTATTATTACTGCTCTTTTCATTCTCAGCTGCCATGCTATCTAAGAGGGGCAGCATTTTACGTTGTACACCGTTATTTAGTGGACCGTTTCACGATGTGAAGGAGAAAAGGATGAGAGAGCGCCATCAGCAAGAAATTCAAAAAGCGGGGCATTCAACTTTGCCAAGTGAAGGGTGCAGTCACTTGAACGACGTCTCAGGTCCATCGAATACTGTCAATGTTGATAATGATCGCAACGTGCAAGCGAAGGAGAGAATGCTGGCGCTTTTGAAGGAGCAAGGACAGCGTCGAATTGCGCGCCGAGAGGCGTTTCTCCATTGGCAAGCTGGTCAACGGGAAAAGGGTGCGGCGCATCGCCTGATGCGTCAGGCGAAGACACAAGAAAAATATAAAAGGTATCACTACCACACACAGAGTGGACGGCTGATTTCTGTAGCCCTAGCTCGTGAAGACGGGACGAGCAGTAACTCGGATTGCACATTTGTTTACCCGGCCACACCAGTGAAGGAAGAAGGTTGGGACTCGGCGGATTTCTTGGTGCCTGGCAACACCCGAGCCAACAGGTGTACAATTCGGCTGACTCTTCCCAAACGGTGAGATTGTTTTGGTGGCTTGGAAACACTTGTTTTCGATCTGCAGAAATGTGGATGTGCAAATTGGTCCGGATTGGGCTTGCGTGCTGAAGGGCAAAGTTATAATTCACTCCTCTCCCCCCCCTCTTCTCTCTTCCCCTCTTTTTTTTGGGGAGGGGGGTTTCTTGCCTCGTCATTTGTCTCTTATATGATTTCATCTTTTTCGTCTTGCAGGTCCTTGTAAATTCAAGAAAGTTATGTTCACAAAGTTTTTAGCGAGAGTCAAGGCTGTCGCTCCCCGTGGAAGCGACTGGGCCAACCGACTCGGCCCTGTTGCCGTGTTCGGTTACGAAGCAGGTGCGCCGCGTAGCTCATCCGTTTTAGATTATTTCTATCGGTCTCCACGTGACTGCGACTACTATGCGGAGCTTTCCTTTCACGAAAAAGGGCCTATTGAGTGTCCACCAGAAACGGTCATGTTTATGCCTGTTTTAAAATGTGGCCATATGCTGGAGGAGGCAGTTGGAGCCCCAAGCCCTACCAGCGATGATTGGTACCCGGCCACCCTCGAGGCCACAACTGAGCTAATAGAGAAAGGCTACATTCCAGCCAGCGTGGGGGGTGATGGCTCAGCCACTCTGCCTATGGTTGAGGCCTACAAGCGGTTGTTTCCATCTGACGATGTCGTTGTTATTCACTTTTCTGCTCGTCCTCTCGTTAGCGACCCCCGAGCTCCTCTCAGAGTTCTCTTGGATAAAGGGCTTCTGAAAGGCATCGTCAGTGTGGGAAATCGATTGGTGACTTCTGACGACCGAAAGATAAGAAAGCATCACAAAATGTTTTACATGGATATGCATGCTATTTATTCTAAGGGCTTGTTTTGCATCCGAGACATTCGAAATGATTACCCTGTTTTTATAAGCATTGATGCAAGTGTGATGGATCCAGCATTTGCACCGGCGGTGGAATCTCCGGTAGCGGGTGGGCTGTCAACACGAGAACTTCTGCATGTCATGAACGGCATTCGAGGACCCAAAGTAGTAGGCTTGGACATTCATGGCTATGTACCAGACCTTGATGTGTATCGGAAAGATGGGGTTGGACTTACGCAAATCGCATTGACAAAAGTGTTGAAGGAGGCCATCCTTAAATCGTATAGTATTTCAACACAAACAGAGGAAGAAGGTATAGCTCGAGTTCAAATGCTGCAACGTCAGGGAGCCATATCAGAAAACCCATATCCTGATCATTGAAGTCCCCTACTCCAAATGTCTGGCACATTAACAGCGTTCTGTGTAATAACAATGGTGTTCTCTTCAATGCACAAACGTGATGCTGCTTTGGCTGTGATTCCGCTTGTTTTCCAAATCTATTCTCTGAGTGTCTGTGATATAGAAGTATAACCAAACAATTTGTGGGAAACAAAAAAAAAAAGAACAATGTCAGATTCAAATGCTGTCGCCCTTCGGGAAGGTTCGTCTGATCTAAGTGCACACCTGGAACAGCGGCGCAATCACGCACGGAGTCTAGAGCTGCAGGTATCTCGGAAAGAAGCAGAGCTTCGTCGTGCAAAGGAAGAGCAGGTACTTCTCAAGGAACTTCAAACCGTGAATGAGATTACCCTGCGTAAAAAGCAGCAGCAGGACGAGGTTGATTCCAACAATCGGCTCAAAATTTCACCAGAATCCCTGGCAGAAGTTCTTGCTCTAGAGAACGAAATTAAGCACGAACGTGAGCGCACGGCTAAATTGCAAGACTCTGCTAACACCACGTTTCGTCAAATGGAAGAAGTGGAGAAAGGCATTGATGATGTCAGCAGCCGTTTGGCATTGGTGAAGCACGCAACTGGCTGGGACCGAACGGATGTTGACAGCACGTGTGGCTCACTTATCACGAATGAGTGGATGCTGCGGAAGAAGAACCTGACCGCGCTTCATGAGGAACAAGAAACCGTGAAGGCCCTCACCGCTTTGCTGACGGAGAGGATCGAAGCACTTACCAAAGAACTGGAAGCACAGGGAAAGAAGACAGAGGAGCTCACGGCGGCACAGGAAACGTTGCGGCAGAAAAACACACAGTACGAAAATATTCTGGAGGAATTAAAGTCTATGGAGAGACTGACCAAGAAGAAAGAACGCCTTTTGGATACCAACCACGACAAGCAATGTGATGACTACAAGACACTTAAGCTATTGGAGGGAGACAAAAAAGTACTCTATAGCACACTTTCCAAGTTTCGTGAAACGAATGTCAGCAACTCCAAATCTATTCTTTCCCTCGAGGTGCGCCTGCGGCAGTTGGAAACCAAGTTGGAGGCGGTGAACCTCTTCCTGCAGCAGGTGTTTGCCGAAGTGGAGGAGGAGGAGCCAATGGAAAATGTTCCGGAAGATGCTATGGAAGTCCCATTGGAGCAGTTCGAGGAGCTTTGTCGTGAACTTGAGTGCTCTCGTGAGACTCTGATTCAGCGTGATGACCAACTCAATGCCCATGACGCGAAGGTTGAGCAGCTTGAGCGAAAGACAACAATTCTGCAAAACGCCATTGCGTCTCGCGCAACTTCGGCGCAACTTCAAGTAAAGGGGAAGGAAAAGGAATTTGAGACGTTGATGTCTCATGTCGATTACATGAAGGCAGAATTCGACGAGGAATACACGAAGCTTTCTCAGGAAAATACCGCACTGCGGGCCAAGCTGGACCATATCCAGTCTAACTAGGATTTTTTTTTTGGTTTTTCTTCCCATCATGGAGCGAAAACACAAGCGATAACAGCAAACGAGACAAGAACACCTTATGCTTGGGCAGAATAATGTAGATCGTCAAGTGCTTTTTCCCTGTTGTCCAAGAAGGCGTTGGATATTGTATGTTAAGGCTTCGTGACTTCTGTTTTGGATTATTCCCTGGCCTTTGGGGAATGTATCTTTCCCTTCTGGGAACCGACTTTAATGGAGTCTTTTTCTTTCTTTCTATGGTCTTTTTTTGCTTTTGAGGGGGGGGG